ATGTAGACTCTGTTCTCCAAAGTATCACTACACCCTAGGGCTGCTGTGTGAGAAGAATGGGTAGAGTCAGTGGGCGTAGCACCCATTGGAAGTGCTATTTCACACGTTTAGATAAGAGGACTGATTTTGGGTACCGTTTTTTCTGACTAACCACAAGTCTCTTCATAGCCTATAGTCATTTCAATGAGGTTTGTTTGTTTGTTTGCCTCTAAAGGATATCTGTGTGAGGGCTTACCTTGCTCTTCGGCATCACACAAACCTTCTCATCATCCTGTTTTCCATGATGCTGATGACTGGAATGCCTCAGCTGACTAGCAAAGAAGATATTGAGTACATCCGCGATGCACTGACGGTTGGCAAAAACGAAGAAGATGCTAAGAAGTATTTCCTAGATCAGATCGAGATTTGTAGGGATAAAGGGTGGACTGTGCAGTTCAATTGGTTTCTGCATCTTGTGCTTGGAATCAAACAAGGCGTGGAGAAACATTCTGCCTAATGGTGAACGGATGCACACATAACTAGAAAGTAACCTGCTGTTACAATCGGTTCTTAGCCTTTTGGGCCACCCCAGTTCCAGGGACTTTCCCCTGCCTAAAATCCAACTCTCATTAAAAAAAGAGAACTTTTTGTCGAGGTGTTGATACAGCACCGTGGTTGATTTAACATACACAAAAGCCTTGTTGAAATGGCCTTCATGCTCCCCCCTTATTTGCCACAGGTGTTTAATAACCTATTGTTAGAATTTAGATGGTACCACTGCTTTGCTGATTGTTTTGTGTAGCTCCTGCAGCAGGATAGAAAGAAAGACCCTCTGAAAATACTGGACCATATGCAGAATAATTTTTAAAGTAATTTTTTCTCTTTCTCTTTTAATTTTTAAGTAAACTGTAATTTACAAATATTTTCTCTGAGATCAAATGTAGTGTGAGCAGGTGTCCACTTGTGAACTTGGGGTTTCCTTCCTCCTCTCCCACCTGAAGCCCCCCAAGCCAGCTCCAGAGGTTGGAGGACCTTCCAGATAAGGAGAGATGGAGGTGGGCTCTCTGCTTTCATAATATTAGCAAAGGGACTCCGTTGTTTTAAGGGTAGGAAGTTGGAAGAGGAAGCATCATAGCGGTGTCATTCTAGGTCGAGAAATCCTCTCTGTTGCTGGGATGAATATTACACACAAGACGAATCATTCATCTATCTGGAAACTGAAGTGCCACTGTCCGTGGATTCCTCTGGTAGCCAATCACAGAGTGTTTCAGATCATCCCTTTGAAGAAAGAAGATGGAAGAGCAAATTGCAGGAGCCAATTTGCATTGGTGGGGGGACAGGGACTGCTAAGGTTGATAGGTAGTAAACAGCTGATCCATTCTTAAATTACTTGCAACCACTGCCTGTTAAGTCTGTACCTATTATTACTCTACGTGTGGAAGGATAAAATCTCTGTAACAGGGATTATTTGTCCAAGAGAAGCGCTGATTGGAAAGTAATTTTACCCATCTAAATTTCATTCTTGGCAGTGTCGGTTAGGTTTAAAGTTTTCAACCTTTCTTCTGAAGTTTTTTCCCCTTTTTTAAAAGTGAGTGGTAGTTTTCATTGCCTGGCGCAGTGATATATTTATACTAATTAATAGTAAACTCAGTGAAATATTAACCTGTATTTAAAAGCTTTATAATGGTGGTACTAGAAGAAACACTGTCCAAGAGCCTCTCCTTCATTTACCAAATGTTTTGACAAGCCAAAAGCTTATTTATTTTTCTCAGTGCCAGGTGTTTTAGTTTTCAAATACATACCACTGCCACAATCCAGAACCACAGTGGTCATACCCAGCTTAAAAAACAGTCCCCCCCCCTTATATCTAGTACTGCACAACAATCAAAACAGAATATAAAGAGACTATATATTAAATATAGCTACTAGGGGTGGTATTCAGAGTAGATGCACTATAATTAATGAACTGAAGTTAGTTTTGTTCATTACTTTTAATGGGTCTACCCTGAGTAAAAAGTAGTTGAACAAATACCCCGAGGTGTGTTAAGATCTTCACTAGGAAGATGGGGAGAATTTTATACTTGATTCTAGAACTGTAAAATTACAAAGCATTGCTAATAATACAGATGTTGTCTGAATTGTGTTTATATAGCCAAAGCAAAAATGGCTTGAAATTCTGGCTTCCATGTGTTATGTAACAATTGGTATGTAACAGACAGTATGTATGTTAAATGTTAAAAAGCATAATAGATTTGGCTTAATCTTTTTCTCATCTACATGAGTCACTTAACATGGTGACCCAAATTAACAAAGTAATGTGTTGTGGCTCTTTATTAAGAAACTCTTTCTTTCCTTGTCCATTTAAATTGTTGTTTTATGTGCAGTGATTTCTTATACAGTATTAAGTAATTTTGGCTGAAATAGGAAAACATATTCTAACAAAGTTGCTTTTAAATGTTTTAAAACTCGGAATGTGTACTGTAGGCTTACAGTTTTAAAAACTGTGTCCTAATTTTGAAATGATTTGCATATATGATTGATTAAACAATACTCATACACCTCTTTTTCTCTCATATTTTTATTTTAAAACTCTGTAACTATGAAAATATTCCATACTGATTAGGAAGAAGTGAGGTTTCTAGTTTGTCCTTGTAAATCAGGGATTTAAGGAGTGTAAGTACACAGTGGTGATAATCCAAGATTATGCCTTTCTTTCTTTCATTGAATTTCAAATTCATAATTTCGTATGTGGTGTTGTTCTGTAAAGAGAATATGCATTTTCAGAGCATTTTCACACCCAACAGAAAATGTACTTTTTGCATTTCTACAGTGAGTGAGTTGTATGTACTGTCTACTAGCAATTATTGGCTAGAAAGTACACTTGGTTTTAAAATGGCTTCTTTTCACTCTTTCTGCTACATTAACATTCACACATGTAAACAAATAGCACAGGAACACTCACTATTGGCTGAAAATGCCCTAAATAATAGCAAGTGCTAGAGTGCTAATATATGGTAAATGGCAGCAGGAACATTATTTCACCCTAACCACCAGATATCTACCAGTAACAATTACAGTAAGTTGAATAACTCTGCATAACTTTTCTAATTTTGCATTAAGTATTTTCTCATTTGTAATAATTTAATCTGCTTTTGTTTGCCCAATGGATACCTTACTCAGCAGCACTGCCTCTGACTCCTAAGATTTCTCCAAGAATTCCTCATCTATTTCAATCTCAACCCTAGAGCTGGATATACAGGTCTTTAAAGCTAGGAGGCCTAATTCTGTAGCCAGTACTATAGGCTGTGGCCCTTGGGGCTAGACCCTTTCCCAGTTGTTGCATTGTGAATGCCCACGGCCGTTAGCTATGTGAGTTTCCACACTGCAGAGAGAAAGGGCTTGTGGACCCTTTTGTGTAAGTGTGACCTTTTGTCCAGCATTGAAGTAAAACCAGACAACAGACCAAAAATATTCTTTGGAAGGATTTAAAATGAGACATACTGCAAAGCTGAGGCCAGCTTAGCAACTTTGCTGCCAAGCTACAGAAGCAAGAACACTGCATAGGGACAAAGTAAAGTAAAGGTAAAGGGACCCTGACCATTAGGTCCAGTCGTGGCCGACTCTGGGGTTGCGGCGCTCATCTCGCTTTACTGGCCGAAGGAGCCAGCGTACAGCTTCCGGGTCATGTGGCCAGCATGACGAAGCCGCTTCTGGCGAACCAGAGCAGCGCACGGAAATGCTGTTTACCTTCCCGCCAGAGTGGTACCTATTTATCTACTTGCACTTTGACGTGCTTTCGAACTGCTAGGTTGGCAGGAACTGGGACCGAGCAATGGGAGCTCACCCCGTTGTGGGGATTTGAACCTCCAGCCTTCTGATTGGCAAGCCCTAGGCTCTGGTTTAACCCACAGCACCACTTATTATTTAATAAGAAGCTAATATTTAATAATTTTAATTTAATAATAACCACAGAGCCTAGGGCTTGCCGATCAGAAGGTTGGCGGTTCGAATCCCCACAACGGGGTGAGCTCCCGTTGCTCAATCCCAGCTCCTGCCAACCTAGCAGTTTGAAAGCATGTCAAAGTACAAGTAGATAAATAGGTACAACTCCGGCAGGAAGGTAAACGGCGTTTCCGTGTGCTGCTCCGGTTTGCCAGAAGCGGCTTAGTCATGCTGGCCACATGGCCTGGAAGCTGTACATCAGCTCCCTTGGCCAATAAAGCGAGATGAGCGCCGCAACCCCAAAGTCAGCCACGACTGGACCTAATGGTCAGGGGTCCCTTTACCTTTAATAATTAACAGTTCATGCCTTTTTAAATGTGCTTGTGGGAGGGGGGCCATTGGTTATATTATGTGGTTTTATTCTGTATTTTAAAATATGCTTATGCTGTGAACCGCCCTGAGATCTTCAGGTGAGGGGCAGTATACAAAATTAATCAATTAATTAAGCAGCAGGGAGACTAGGCCCCCTGGCCACGCTCCAAGCTTTATGAACTTCCTGTAAGGAGCAGCAGCAACAGCAGCAGCATCTTCTGCCACAAAAGACGAGCAGAGCTGCCAACTGGCCAGAAAGAAAAGGCGAAGGGAGGGGCAAACAGGCCTGGCATGTTCCTGCGCCTTTAACAGCAGCCTGATTTGTGGGAGGCAGCTTTTCAGGGAAATGGCAGCTCAGCCGATTTCTAGAAACCATGCAGCTGTTTCATAGAAAGAGGAGCTGGGGGGGAAATAGTAAAAAAATAATAATATGGCCAGCAAGCCCAAAGCAGTCTCCGGGGGACTCTTCCATTGCACTATATTGACTTATCATGTAAGGCTTTTCCCAGCGCCCCGATGCAGCCCCCCAACTCCAACCGGGCCTTGCTCGCTTGCTTGCTCGCGTGCCTTCCTCCGATTGCATTTGCAACGCTGCAGCAGCAGCAGCAGCCGCGCGCGCGGCGGAAGGTTGTCATGGTTTCGCGGGTCACATGCGCGCGAGGTTTCCCCCAGCGCTGGGGGGCGGGAGATGCGGCTGCAGTCGCCGTCGGGACTGGCTCGTTCCCGGCTGCTGCTGCTGCTGCTGCACGGAGCAGGGCGGGGGTGCAAAGAACCCAAGGCAAGCAAGCAAGCGAGCCAGCTAACCGGCACCGGCAGCAGCAGCCTTGCAAGTGCCGCCTTGCAAGTGCCCGGTTGCAAGCTCGGCGGGGGGGAGCGGGTGGCTCGGGGACCCCCGCTGGGCTCCCCTCTCCGCCCGCCCACCTGCCTTCCTGCCCCCCGCGCCCCACCCCGCGCGCTCCCCCGGGATGAGCATCTCCGTCCCGGAGGGGCTGACGGAGCTGCTGCAGGGCTTCACGGTGGAGGTGCTGCGGAGCCAGCCGGGGGACCTGCTGGAATTCGCCCTCCAGTACTTCGGGCGCCTCAAGGCGGAGGCGGGTCCGGGGGCGGCGGCGGCGGGGCGGCAGCAGGAGGACGGCCAGCGCCACTTCAATGCGGGCCCCCCCGAGGCGCTGCGCAGGGCCCCCTCCGAGGGCGGCCGGGGGGTCAACTTCGCCCAGGAGCCCATGCAGACCGACTCCGAAGCGGACGACGACGACGAGGAGGAGGAGGCGGAAGGATTCGCCGGTAAGCCCAGCCTCCGTCGGAAAACGCCCCCCGCCAAGGGAGGGCGAAGGGGGGCAGCGGAGGCCACTCCAGGCCGGGGGGGGAGTCTGCTTCCAGCCCCATTTCCCCCAGAAAAGGGGGACAGGGCTGACCCCGAGGTGCAGGTGGGGGGACTGGGGTGCCGCCCCCTCGGGTCGCCTTGGCGTGGCTTCGCGGGAGGGAACAAAGGCAGCGGGTCGTTTCCCGCGAGGGAGTCTCATCCTGCCCCCCCCAAAGCTGCATTTCTGCCAGTAAACTGCTTTGAAGTCTATTTTTTTTGTATTAAGTAGTATATAAATAAAATAATAATAATGCAGGATATTTGCCCCTGCAATCTTAGTCATTTCTTAAGCTACATGAACCAACCTCCCCCCACCCCAAAAGCTGTCAGATCCCCTCATATTTGGCACCACCCAAGCAGTAAAAGCTTCCCAGGGGCTGGGTTGCCAGCTTTTGGGCTGGCCTCTGCTCCTGTGCCCTTAGAAGAATCGCTTGCTCTGCAGGGCAGCAGTTGGAGTAAGTTGGGGAAGTTTTCTGGCCGGGCGCTTAGGTCTGGAAACCCAGAGAGGAAGAAGGTGTGGGGTGTCTTTCATTCACAAATTTGGGGAGGAAAAACAATTGTTTCCTTATGAATGAAAGCGTTCAGCAAATGCCTGGGTAAACACTTGGTAGAGCTGCCATGAGCCAGATGACACGGCTTCTTCACCGTGTGAGCTGTCACTTGGCAGATCTCGCCATAGGGCAAGTAGCCATATCTTCGGTGATAGTCAGAGACATCTTTGGGAAGTGGAGGAGCAGGCCTTGGCATACCTGAGCAGGAAGCTCAGGATTTAGGGTACGAATAGCAGCATCTCCATACCACTCTCCTTTCCAGGGATGAGCTGCGTGAGAAGCTGCTCATGTGATGTGCAGCTCAGTTCTGCTTCTTTGGATTTCGAAAGCCCCCCCCCCCTCCAAAGCTGTCCTAGAGGCAGAGAAAGAAGGAGAGGCGTGATGAGCTTGCTGGCTTGTCACCATCCCTGCCCACTCAGTAATGAGGGGCTGTTAGCAGACTTATTCTTCGCAAACCAGCAAGAGGAAATGAGTTGCTGGATGCGGAGCTTTCTGTTTTCCCTTTGCTTCCTTGCGGATAATCTTCCCTACTTATCTCAAATAATGGAAGGACTAAGCTGAACCAACCAAGCTGGCCTTGGTGTGTTGAAGGAGAAGGCACTAACTTTTTGTTTTTCTCAGGTATCAGATGGCAGCAATGACTCCCTCTGAACACATTCAAATTCCCTTCCCTTGACAATTAAGGGACTCGGATGGCGCTGTGGGTTAAACCACAGAGCCTAGGACTTGCTGATCAGAAGGTCGGCGGTTCAAATCCCCGCGACGGGGTGAGCTTCCGTTGCTCCTGTCAACCTAGCAGTTCACAAGCACCTCAAAGTGCAAGTAGATAAATAGGTACCGCTCCGGCAGGAAGGCCGTGCGCTGCTCTGGTTCACCAGAAGCGGCTTAGTCATGCTGGCCACATGACCCAGAAGCCGCACACCGACTCCCTCAGCCAATAAAGCAAGATGAGCGCCGCAACCCCAGAGTCGGCCACGACTGGACCTAATGGTCAGGGGTCCCTTTACCTTTACAACCTCCACAAATTTGGGATTTGGGGAAGATATAGAAGAAACAGGGATAACCCATATTTGTGGGTTTGTGCTCCAATGTATATATATTTCTCCCTGTCTCTCTCTCATGGGTTTCTCAGTTTTGGGGTTACAAAACTATACCAAAATTCAGAAAAGTCTAGGAAAGTATTGCTTCTTTGTGCTTTGAATAAGCATAGCTAGGAACAAGCTGGCAGTCGTTGCAAGCAGTCATTTCAGGAGATGATGTTACTTGCAAAAGGGCTCATTGAGTGATGGTGGCTAATTTTTCCTTTGTTTTCCCTCCTCCTTGGAAACACACAAAGGGCTTTGCAACTGCTAGCAAACCTATATTGATCAACAGTTCCGTTAATGTGAAAGTTGACACTTTCTAAAAGGAGGATGAGGCTTTAAAGGGAAAGAGAACAAGCAAGGGTAGAGAGAGTGTTGTAGTGTTGTAGTGTTGTAGTGGTGTTAGTTGACTGTAGGGGAATATGGCAATATTTGGCCTATGTCTTTAGTTTGTTGTTTTTCCAGAAATGGTTAGTTTTGTGATATTTATCTGTAACTGAGATCCTCTGTTCCTTCATGGTTACAGGAACCACAGTTGTTTATATGGTTCCCATGTGGATAAACTGCAATTTATTGTGGGAACCAACACTCATAGATGTTTTGCATGCCTTGGTTTGCTCCCGGGCGTCTGTTCAGCAGCGAGCTGAGGCCAACCCTGGCTCTGGGACTTGTGTATCTGTATGATGTTCAGGTTTATTGCATTCACATGCTACGTTTTAAGTCAAGGCATAGGCAAACTCGGCCCTCCAGATGTTTTGGGACTACAATTCCCATCATCTCTAGCTAACAGGACCAGTGGTCAGGGATGATGGGAGTTGTAGTCCCAAAACATCTGGAGGGCCAAGTTTGCTTGTGCCTGTTTTAAGTAGACATATGAAACACCTTCCACTAGGCACCTCAGTGGTGCAGCACCGTGACTGTGAGGTTAAGAAAGCCACAATTTTCAGGACTTTGATGCAAAATGGGAGAGTGGGTTTGTGGGATTTTGTACAGACTCGCTATGTAATATGGGATCCTCGAAACAAAGCTGACTAAAGCCTTGCTTACCCTTGCAGCTTGGAAGATGGTGGTAGAGAGGACTGTAGGTGGTGAATCAACATTTTTGGAGGCTCCCGTGCATTAGAATCAACAACCCTGGGCTTCCCTGTAAATAGAAATCTAGCCTAGCTGGCTGTGGGTTAGAACCTCTTTCCCTGGTTACCATCTTTATTTATGAGTGCCGTCTATGTGCAATGTGCACGAAGCTTACCACGAACAGGTATGACAGGTCCCTGCCCCGGGGGCCTTCCGTAGAAACTGAGAAATAACAGAAGAAGTGGGAAATGGAAGCACGTATGGATAGACCGGGGAAGAATGTGCGATCATTTCAGTGGCTTATACTTTGATTTAGTAGGGAGCAGCAGTTGGGAGGGCAATGGAGGAAGACAGTTAATAGGGATGAGATAAAGAGAAGTGGCAGGGTGGTGCAAAAATCTGCTTCCTTGTTTTAGTTTTGTTGCATATGCAGGCAGTCTTTTTTTTTTTATAAATGTGGGGAAGCATTCAGAAAATACATTCCCTTCTTGCCGCCAGAAGGGGCACAGCTTTCTCTATCAACTCAGGATTGCTACCTCTTTCTACTAAGTGTGAGTCCATGGATTTAAGACCCATTCTGCACATTCCATAGGTAAAATGGTTGGAAAATGGACCAAACCTTTTCACTTTGTAGGCATGGAAACCGATGCTCCTCTTCGCACAAAAAAAAAGTTTCCTGAATGTAGTAAAAGTACAAAGCTATTCAGAGTTTTCCTCCCTAGTTTACTTAAGAGGAAGATTATTCAAAAGTACGGCACTCCCTCTCCCCCCCCCCCGGTCTGAAGTGGCGCAGTCCACATTCTACCACATTCTGTGAAATGTGTAGAACTCTAAATGATGCAGGTATCAGAGCCAATGATATGGAAATTGTTCTTCTTTTAGAAGCACGTTGTTCCGTACAATTAATCAGCAGTAATGAATATTACACAAGTCAACTGGAACGAGTACAAATTGAAAATCAAACAGTCAAAACAAAAAGCAAAGTTGTAATTACTATTCTTTCAGGTAACTAAATCTAGGAAGTGCACATATTTATGTGTGCAGCTCTTCAAGCGTGCCCAAAATTGTATGTTAAGAGTTTTTGGTGCCTTCATTCCCCCTCCTTACAATTGAGCGTGCATGAATGAGTTGTTATATCTTAAAATATTTACAGGTATTATTATACAACAATTTTCAGGCAAAGGCTTGTATGTTTAAAACATACTGACCATGCAATCCTATACTTGGAGAAGAAAGTCCCAGGTGGGGGACTTAGGTCGGTGTGTAGGATTGTCGCATTTTTTTGAATGTCTTTCCCCATATGAAATATTTCCTATAGCTAATTATGTCTCTTTACTGGAGAAAAAGTTTTTTTGGGGGGAAAAAACACTTTTCTTTTTCAGTTTTTGAATATACCTATAACAATCACCATACAGTGGTACCTCGGGTTAAGTACTTAATTCGTTCCGGAGGTCCGTACTTAACCTGAAACTGTTCTCAACCTGAAGCACCACTTTAGCTAATGGGGCCTCCTGCTGCTGCTGCGCCGTCGGAGCACGATTTCTGTTCTCATCCTGAAGCAAAGTTCTTAACCCGAGGTACTGTTTCTGAGTTAGCGGAGTCTGTAACCTGAAGCATATGTAATCTGAAGCGTATGTAACCCGAGGTACCACTGTATACCGCATTTTCCCATGTATAAGACTAAGTTTTTAAACCAAAAAAGTAGGTTTAAAATTGGAGCTCGTCTTATATACAGGTAGTGCTGAGGGGTGTCTTCTTAATTTGGAGTCTCCAAAAATAGGGGGCGTCTTATACATGGGGGTGTCTTATACATGGGAAAATACGGTACCTCAACCTCTCAAGAAACAGTCCATGCATATACAGTATAAACAATATAGTCAAGCATTAAGCAAGTGTTTGGTGTTTGTGTTCTTTGGTGTTGTTCTTTGGTGTCCCTGTAAGAGCTGTGCCTCTAGCGCTTCCAGTATTGTGTTAATATAATTCTAGCTGCAGAAATGAAAAAAGAAGAAGTAGGTCTTTAAACAGTAAATTCTTAGGATCATTTATAAACAAAATTTAATAAAGCTAGCCTTGGATCAGGCTGTATCACCAGTCCCCTAAGAGAAGGGAAACCACTTCAGCATGTGAAATTAACATTGCAAACTTCCCTTAGGTTTTGTTTTGTTTTTAATTAAAAAATGTAAATCAAATGACCATGCTGAATTGGATCTTTCT